GGGGGGGGGGGGGGGGGAGTGTATCACACAAACTGGTCTATACTTTTAAGAGGGTGGTTTGAGAATCCTTTGGCTACAGAGATACTAGAAAAGGAAGCTGCATGTTAAGAAATTTCCTCTGTTAATGAACTCTACCTCAACATTTCTCATTGATTGGGGGCCTGAGAGATTGGACATATACTCACTGGGCAAAGCAGGAGCCTCTGTTTCAAACTTCAACTGGAAAAGTAATTCACTTTCAGAACTGATCCAATTCTTCACCCAATTTGTGGGCAGAGAACCTAGGTGATTAATTTCTTAGTTTTTCCAGGAAAAGGAGAAAGGATCCCATAATGTCACAATGGCAGGATTCCCCTTTAGCATTCCTACTGAAAAAGCCCCCCGGGAGGAGTTTTGAATGGCGTGTGGGAAGCCAAAGCATTGGAGAAGAAGTTGTGTAATGAAGACAGGCAGGAAGACAGGAGCTTCACGCACACCCCTTGGCCACTTTGCACAAACTCCATGCTCTACTCAGAATTATCGTAGCTTTTGAAATACTTCTAGAAAAACGAGTTCTCCTGAGTCAAATGGAGTGAGAAGCGATAGAATAATTGCAGTAGACTTACTCATAGGTCAAGGAGGGGCGCCAAGATGACAGGCACCGGAGCAGCCAAGGAGCTGCTTGTTCTGAAAGCATGATCTCCTTTATCAAAGCTGGACAAAGTTCAGGGTTGTACGCAAACAAGAAAATGGGCTGTTCCCTCGAAGGATTCTTGCCCATTGCTCTGTCCCTTCCAGGAAGTTGTGAACGTTGGGAGCCCACACCTGTCAAAGGTGGGGCCTTGTTTTGGCTGGCTGTTGAGGGACAGCCATTCCGACAAGGCCAAAGCTGATCCCTTCTAAATCTGAGGAGATGATAACATGTTCTCAGGGGCTGCCACCAAAGCAGTTGGAGGAACAGCATTCACTTGCATGTCTTGGAAGAGGGCCGCCTCTGACACAGGATCACGGGTGGTGGCTTTGCAGTATGCGGGAAGAGGTGAAGAGGCTTTGGATCCAGAAAGGGCGTTCAAAGCTGAAGAAAATCCTCCTTGAAAAATTCAGGAGATACCAGTGAATTCTTCCAATCTGTCTGATGCTGCTGGAATGAAGCAAGGGCTGAGCAAATCAAAGTGGTAAGTCTTTTCTTCATGACCAATGTCTTAGGGCAGACTCTTCCCATTAGATCCTTCCTAAAGTCTGAGAACCACTCTCATCACCTCTGGTTAACATGGCCTTAGGTCATCATGCTGGCTTGGGAGTGATGGGAGTTGCAGCTCAACGTATTTAAAGGGGACATTTCGTACAGTGTCTTTTTGCACACTTCTGGGCATACATTATTAATATAGGGGTGTGTATGCTTGACAGAGATTACCCATGTTTGTTCATTAGGACTGTGGAAAAAGCAGGTTTGGATGGAATTGTACAAAAGATGCAGCTGCTTTAACAATTCAAAGGTAGGCTCCTGCGTGTTGCTTCTTTTGAATGCTTCACACAGAATATATATTCCCTCCTCCAAAACACACCTTATCTATGTATCTGTTGGTAATGTATCTACCTCATTACTTGCTCCAAGGATGAACTGGTTTCTAATTTGAGCTGCTGAGATGATCATGGGGCAAGACTAATGAGACTGCCATCTAGGGGTTAGGAGCACCTCCTTGTATACAGAGCACCCTAGTCTCAAAGCCGGGAATTCCAGTGTGAGCTAAAGCTGGCAGGGACCTCTTTCTGAAATCCTAAAACCTAGGATCAGTCCACATAGACCATCTCTCACTACATTGGTCCTAGTCAATCTAGGGTGGCTGTTTTGCTCCTGAACTGCTGCAGTCCCTTAACAGAGCTTGCAGGTCCCACCCAAGGGCACAACTGAAGAGGGACAGAAGACTGGCTTATCCCTCTCACTCATGACTTTCAGAAGGTGTTGATTTTATCTAGTCCAGGAACCATGGTGGGCGAGGAACATGGGCTTGGGAAAAGGGTGTTAAGGATCTCAGGGAAAAAACGGAAGCAGGTACCCCACACCATGTGCCTTCTTGATCTTCACGTGCGTGCCAGAAGCAATGGGTATGCTGAGGTAACAAGGAGCAATGCCACACAAGGGACCGAAACACAAGAGAAGCGAAGCAAAACGCCAGGGTTCGGAGGAAAAGCAAGGGGTAGATGGCATTTCTGAAATAAATAACATAAAAATGCTTCTGAATATAGATTTTTAAAGGGCTGTGCCTCCAGCCGTCAGGCTTCCTGTATTCAGGGCCACTGACCTCGGCAACTGAACTTTCTGCCTGACTCAGCAAGTGCTAAATGTTGCCCTTCTTTACAGCTGAAACTTAGCATGGATTACTTGGGAGGTCTGGAAGCTGGAGGGGGTGGGGATTCATGTCTGTGTAATTCAGCCCACAGTTATTCGCGGAATCTGCTGATGGTGGGCCAAGTTTCCAAACTACTGAGTTCTTTATGGGTCAAATCGGTCTCCCACAGGGAGCCACCTAATTACATACAAATTCACCAACTCCCTACCTTGTTTCTCAGGCCACCCCTGTACCCAGCCACTTCGGCCAAGCTATGCCCCATCCTTCTTGTCAAAAGGAAAAATGCAGGGGAGCAAAGGGGTGGGACGAACTCAGACGCGTTTCTAGGGAAGCCTCTTCCCCCTTTAGCGCCCACAGTGAAAGCGCTGCAAAGGCAAGAAGCCATGCTCGACACAAGACTGCCTCCTTCAATATTATTTAATATAAAATGCAGAGGGGACCCATGCAGCTGCTGCACACAGCTTTTGTGTTCTTGAAAGGGGAGGCGGGAGCGAGGGAAGAAGGTGCAAGGAGGCCCTGGCCCTTCCGCTGGGGCCCTGACAGAGCCACTTCCAACAGGACGTGGGGGAGGGGATCTCTCAGCACCAGCAGAGGCTCCGTCTGTCCAGGTGTGCTGCAACTTGGCGTTCATCCGCGCGGGGACACAGCCAGACTTCAGCCGATTCCCGCAAAAGATGACCTGCACTGCCTTCGCCTTCGATGGCCAATGTCCTCAGCTGCTGCTGCCGGGGCTGAGCTGGAGAAATTACGACAAGGTCTCTTTCCCTTGGGTGCAAGGCAGCAGCACCATGGGGGGCGGGGGTGGCTGGTGAATTAGGAACCCCCAGAGCTTGAAAGGCGGTGGCTGCTGTTGCTTCAGGTCATCTGGGAGCCCAAGGGCTGGAAAGTGTTCTTAGGCAGTCAAGGCTGTAATAGACCCCCACCTCCCAGCTCCGGGAGCTCAGGAGCGGCTTCGGTCCTCGTGATTGCCCACAACCATCTTGCTGTAGAGCTTCTGCTGCTCTTCCTTGAAGGTGTCCTTCACCTTTTCCCTCTTCAGGCCCCCATCCCTGCGGAAAAAGAAAGACATCCATCAGAGCAGAACAGTCACTCTGGGCCCGAACAGGAGGACCGCTAGCAAACTGGTGGCTGGGGAGAATAAACAAGCGGGATTTCCAAGGGGCCCTGCAAAAAGTAAGGTTCAGGCTCATGCCATTCCCCAAGATGCGGGGCAGCGCTCCATGGGCCTGATTAGGCCCCCTCCGCACAGCCCCTTCCCCTGCTGTGGAAGAGGAACAGAGGTCACTTCTAGGATACACCAAGGAGTCTAAGTCTCGGTTCACACCGTGCATTAAGCTATTATATGGTTTGTTTGGTTTGGCTTAGTGTGATTTGTGATGCTGGGGGGTGGTGGTGGTGGTGAATGAAGGGCCTGCTTCTGTCCTTCATCATGTGTAACTCCCCTTCCTCCTGTTTTGGTCTTCCTGGAATGCTGGAAGCTCATCTCAGGCATAGGTTTGGGGAAGGACATGCGTGTCTTTGGAACACAGGAAAGCTCTTCCTTCTGAAATTTAGCTAGAATGATCCATACCACGGTAGACAACTCAGGCCCTCCAGGTATTGCTAGATTACAACTCCAAGGTCCCCTCAGAACTAGTCAGGCTGATTAGGGTTTGTGGGAGATGGGGTTCAACTGCACAAGATACCACAAGAGCAATGGAAGCTGCCTTATTCAGAGTGAATGCTGGGAACTAGAGAGATTGCCAGAGAAGTAATGCAATAGCAGTTAGCAAAACAGGAACGAAGCCTAAGAAGAGAAGAGGCGGTCCCATGAAGTCGACTGGGGCTTGGTCTGGCTTGATTATCGGGGGTGGGTGGTGGTGGTGGTGTTGATCCTGTTGGGGCCAATGAAGTGGACAAGGTTCTTGCAGTTGTCAGCTTGGCCATCTCTGTTTTAGATCCATGTCCCTCCTAGTTGGCTAAGGCTTCCTGGGAGGTGATGTGTGGTTAGGTCTTGGGGGTGCTGAATTCCTCTTTGAGAGAGGGAGTGGTTCCACCATCTCTTAAGGAGGTGGTGGTTCAGCCCCTCCTCAAAAGCCATTTCTGGACTTGACAGTTCTGGACAATTTTCATCCAGTTTCTAACCTTCCTTTTTTTGGGGAAGATTGTGGAGAAGGTGGTCATGTGGCACCTGGAAGCAGAAGATTATCTGGACCAGATAATCCAGTCAGGATTCAGGCATCATTGAACACACTCTTGGATGACCTCTGGTAGGAGCTGGGTGGGGGTGGCGTATCTGTCCTTGCTGTTCTTGATCTCTCAGCTGCTTTTAAGACCATCAATCACAGTATCCTTTTGGATCGGCTTCAGGGGCTGGAGGGGGGGCAGCATTGTGCTGTGCTGGTTCTCCTCCTTCCTCTGGGGCCAGTTCCATTTGGTGGTGATAGGAGAGGAGAGGTCCAGTCCACAGCCTCTGCTTTACTGGATGCCATAGGGCTCAGTACTCTGTCCTCTCCTGTTTAACATCTACCTGAAGCTGCTGGGCAAGATCTTCCAATGGTCTGGGGTGCGGTATGAGCAATATGAGGATAATAGCTAGCTTTATATCTCCACCCTGGGTCATTTGAGTGATGCTGTGGAAGTCCTGTTTTGGTGTTTGGAGGCTGGGGGGTGGGGGCGGGTCTGGATGGGGAACAGCAGGCTTCAACTCAACCATAGCAAGAGCGAAAGGCTTTGGGTTTAAGGACCCTCTGGTGCTGGGGATCTTCCATCTTTAGCTATGGATGGGGTGGGCTGCACTACTTGTGCACAATTTGGGATCCTCCTAGACGCATAGCCCCTGCTTGAAGAACAGGTGGCAGCCATGGCGAGGAGGGCCTTTGTACAGCTATATGTTGTGGGCAACTACACCTGTTCCTGGACTGGGAAGCACTGCTCACTGCCACTCGTACCTTGACCACTTCCCAGTTGGACTACTGTAATCTGCTCTACATGAGGCCACCCCCGAAGAGTATGTGGAAGCTTCAGCTGGTGCAATATGCAGCAGCACAGGTAGTGATAGGTGCCTGTCATTCAGCACATGTGACATCTCTGCTCTGCGAGTTGCGTTGGTTTCCAGTATGGTTCTGGGTTCAATTCAAAGTGCTGGTAGTTACCATTAAGTCCCTCCATGGTTTGGGGCCAGGTTACTTGCTGGACTGTCTCTCCCTGGTTGGATCTATCCATCCTGTTAGATCCAATAGGAGAGGAATGTTCCATGTCCTGTTTGTTAGGGAGTGTCATCTGGCTGGACCCAGGAAGAGAGCCTATTCCAGCCCACCCTCTGGAACATCCTTCCTCCAGAGAGCAGACTTGCCCCCGACCTTGCTGGCCTTCTGTAAGAACTTGAAGACCTGATTTTTTTGTCGAGTCTGCGGCCCTGGAGGTGTGGATGAGCCTGTAACATGGCTATGTTAATTATGGTTGGTTTTTTCTTGACTGCTGTATATGTTCTTCATGATTTTGAGAAACTTCCCTCTTATACCAAAGAGAGTCAAGGCAGGGTTCTTTCGAACATTCTTCCCTTTCTGGGCTTAGTTCATGTTTTGCTAGCTGCCATCGCATCCTTTCTCCAAGGTCGTCTCTGTGGTTCTTTACAGTGAAACCATTTGGTCCACCTAATCTTTCTTTGACCATGAAGTCTGAGAAACGAGGGTTGAAATGCAGCACATTCCGATGTTTGGAAGGGTGGTCTGTGTTGCTCGGAGGCTGACAACGGCTCCCCGGAATCTCAGGCTGGCATCTCACAAACCTGCTTTGAGTTGCAAAGAACTGAGCACCAAACCTTCTGTTCTCTACTACTGAGCTCCATTTGGTACAATGAAGTTACTAGGCAAGAACTACACCAGGGGGTGTCCGCAGGAAAGGGGCCAAAAGGTCAAGTGGATGGCTACAGCGATAAGACAGAAGCCCCACCCATTTTTACTCACATATAAAAAGGGCAGGGCTTTGACCACATGGTTTTAAGTGCCATCTTTACTTTTTTGACCCCCCCGACCCCCCGTAGACCCTTGAACGACACAATGCAAAGATTTAGTTATTGTGTACAGATACAAACAAGCTGAAATCGAAGGTGTTTATTGATCTGAAGTTAGGCAAGGCAATACCTAAATGTGTGACTGATGTGCATATTAACGTTATTCGTTTAAAATGCTTTATAGCCTCTTTTTCCACATAACAGAATAAGGTAATGAGCAACAAAAACTCCCATAGGATAAGGCCAGAATATCGAGAAGGAGCAAAAAAGCCAATTAAAAAGGGAAGATTTTGGCATCTTCTCCTGGGGAAGAACCACTAGAGGCAGGGTGCTGACACAGGGAGACCTTATAGCGGCCAGATCTAGTTCCTGAGGTGGTTTATGGAAAGCAAAGGGATTTCTTTAGCTCAGGGGAAAGCACCAGTGGCCCCAGCCTAATTTTTGCAGCCCTCAGAATCTCCTGCAACTCTGAACGCTGATGGCGGTTTCCTATTTTCTAGAGGCAAAGAATAGATAGAAATGTAGGGTAAGCCCTAAAATAGGCATCTCACCATTGGCCAGGCCTGGATAGATAGAAATGTAGGGTAAGCCCTAAAATAGGCATCTCACCATTGGCCAGGCCTGGATAGATAGAAATGTAGGGTAA